TCAGTTGGTAGAGCATGGCGTTTGCAACGCCAGGGTTGTGGGTTCGTTTCCCACGGGGGACCAGTATGAAAATAATGTATGCACTCACTAACTGTATGTCGCTCTGGATAAGAGCGTACATGTAAAATGAGAGACTGCGAGTAAGTATGTGAAAGAGAGGATTCTACCTGGAACCATAAAGGGGAACCTGGAACCCTTTTTTCTAAGAGTGTGGCATGAAAGACACACACACATCTCCCCTCCCCTCCCCCTCCCCCTCCCCCTCCCAGTCCCAGATGTGTTGAGTATTTCTGCCCTGCAGCAGGCCAGTCTTAAAATACACTCCACCTACGCATTCCACCACCGAGCCCCCCTCCTCTACGCATCACTTCCTGTTTCTCTCACTCTTCCCGCTCTGCTCCTCCCAACTGCCTGCCTGCCTTGGCACTCACTCATCTACATCACACACAGTCACCACATAAATAACATATTATCATACACACACACTCACATAAACTCATACACCCTGCACAGTTACTCACACGTACACACACACATAGACACAGTCACAGTCAGTCACTGTGCAAACTGTTAGGATTCATACATACTCATAGACTTACTCACACAAAAACATATTCTGTCTCTATCTGTCACATATTTGCACACACAGTCACCACTGTACAAAGAGGAAAACACAGTCACCACTGTACAAAGAAGAAAACACAGTCACCACTGTACAAATAAGAAAACACAGTCACCACTGTACAAAGAAGAAAACACAGTCACCACTGTACAAAGAAGAAAACACAGTCACCACTGTACAAAGAAGAAAACACAGTCACCACTGTACAAAAAACCAGTCCCACTGGACAAGAAAAACACAGTCACCACGGTACCAAGAATAAACAACATTCACCCACTGTACAAAGAAGAAAACACAAGTCACCACTGTAACAAAGAAGAAAATCACAGTCAACCACTGTACAAAGAAGAAAACCACAGTCACCACTGTACAAAGAACGAAAACCACAGTCAGCATGGTGCAACGGCACACATCACACCTCACCACATACGTTCTATATTCCTAGTCATATAAACTCACTACTGTTACTATATCATAGTCATATAAACTCACATACTGTTACTATATCATAGTCATTTAAACTCACATACTGTTACTATATCATAGTCATTTAAACTCACATACTGTTACTATATCATAGTCATATAAACTCACATACTGTTACTATATCATAGTCATATAAACTCACATACTGTTACTCTATCATAGTCATATAAACTCACCATACTGTTACTATATCATAGTCATATAAACTCACATACTGTTACTATATCATAGTATTTAAACTCACACTGTTACTATATCATAGTCATATAAACTCACACTGTTACATATCATAGTCATATAAACTCACATACTGTTACATATCATGTCATTAAACTCACATACTGTTACTATATCATAGTCATATAAACTCCCCAACTGTTACTATATCATAGTCATATAAACTCACATACTGTTACTATATCATAGTCATTAAACTCCATACTGTTACTATATCATAGTCATAAACTCACAACTGTTACTATATCATAGTCATATAAACTCACATACTGTTACTATATCATAGTCATATAACTCACATACTGTTACTATATCATAGTCATAAACTCACATACTGTTACTATATCATAGTCATTAATAAACTCACATACTGTTACTATATCATAGTCATTAAACTCACATACTGTTACTATATCATAGTCATTTAAAACTCACATACTGTTACTATATCATAGTCATTTAAACTCACATACTGTTACTATATCATAGTCATATAAACTCACATACTGTTACTATATCATAGTCATTAAACTCACATACTGTTACTATATCATAGTCATTTAAACTCACATACTGTTCTATATCATAGTCATATAAACTCACATACTGTTACTATATCATAGTCATATAAACTCACATACTGTTACTATATCATAGTCATATAAACTCACATACTGTTTACTATATCATAGTCATATAAACTCACATACTGTTACTATATCATAGTCATTTAAACTCACATACTGTTACTATATCATAGTCATTTAAACTCACATACTGTTACTATATCATAGTCATATAAACTCACATACTGTTACTATATCATAGTCATATAAACTCACATACTGTTACTATATCATAGTCATATAAACTCACATACTGTTACTATATCATAGTCATTTAAACTCACATACTGTTACTATATCATAGTCATTTAAACTCACATACTGTTACTATATCATAGTCATTTAAACTCACATACACACTGTCTCTTTGTCTTTCTCACTCATCTGACACACAGTCATCAGGGTACTAAGAAGAGGAATGGTGAGTGGTAAAGTAATCATGACACACACACACAGGCGCACACACACACACACACACACAGGCACACACACACACACACACACACACACAAGCCTTATACACTGACTGTACAGGACACCTTCCTAATATTGAGTTTGCCCTCAGAACAGCTTCAATTCGTCGGGACATGGACTCTACAAGGTGTTGAATGCGTTCCACAGGGATGCTGGCCCATGTTGACTCCAACGCTTCCCACAGTTGTGTCAAGTTGGCTGGATGTCCTTTGGGTGATGGGCCATTCTTGATCCACAGGAAACTGTTAAGCGGCAGGTAGCCTAGCAGTTAGAGTGTTGGGCCAGTAAACGAAAGATCACCGGCTCGAATCCCTGAGACGACTAGGTGGAAAATCTGTCGATGTGCCCTTGAGCAAGACACTTAACCCTAATTTCTCCTGTAAATCACTCTGGATAAGAGTATCTACTAAATGACTAAAATGTTGAGCGTGATAACCCCAGCAGCGTTGCAGTTCTTGACACACTCAAAACGGTGCACCTGGCACCTACTACCAAACCTTGTTCAAAGGCATTTCAATCTTTTGTCTTGCCCATTCACCCTCTGAATGGCACACATACACAATCCAAGTTTCAATTGCCTCAAGGCTTAAAAATCCTTCTTTAACCCGTCTCTTCCCGTTCATCTACACTGATTGAAGTGAATTTAACACGCAACATCAATAAGGTATCATAGCTTTCACCTGGATTCACCTGGTCAGTGTATGTAATGGAAATAGCATGTTTTGTACACTCAGTGTATATCACAGCATACATAATCCTGTTATATTATCCATGAAAAGAAGGGTAGGGCGGGTGGTGCAATAATAATGCACATCACATCCTCCGTACATCATCCCCACCCTCATGTGCCACTGCAGATCTTAATATAGCCCTCGGCTGGCTGGGAGATAAAACACGTCACTGTCGATGCCTCCACATAGTATTACAACTGTACTTCACATCATAGTGTGCGTCTGAAATGACACCATATTCCCTGTATAGTGAAACACACGCTGATGTGGCTATAGTAGGCTTACATATTGTATAATGATTTCAACCCATCCTTCATGGTAGTAAGGCCTACTGATAAATGGAGACACCCTAAAGAGATCTAAAGAACGGAATAGAACATAGGTCCTAAAGACTGCATGTGTCAATGAACAGTGAATTAGTTGGTCATGATGAATGATGATTCAGGGTTGTTACACAATTTAGACCCCTTGAGCAAAACAAATGCTGTTCGTATATTACATAAAGCACATTAAACCTCATGTAACTGTCAATTAAGGTTATGAGAGGAAGTGAATAAGAATTATGTCACAATCCACCGGATACAGGAGTGTGTGTGTGTGTGTGTGTGTGTGTGTGTGTGTGTGTGTGTGTGTGTGTGTGTGTGTGTGTGTGTGTGTGTGTGTGTGTGTGTGTGTGTACTAGTCCCAATAGTGACACATAACTCTAGTTGTGCCTGTCAGTGGCTCCACTTACTCTCATAATAACCATTTGAGCCTGAGGAGTATTGCCTAATGCGGTCCTGGACCAGATATTGGGAAATATCTGAGTGTGTCTGTGTTATTTATCAGCTAACTGTATTTACCCTAGATAAATGAGACATGCATGTGTGTGCAAGCTTTTCAGCTTTACTATTAGGTGAGAGATCAATAGAAAACCAGATCAACAACTGAATACATTTTCAGAATGTTTATTACAACTCTGATATAGATATATATATATAAACATGGCTTATTTTCACAGTTCATACATCATTTCATGTAGGCTACTTCTCTGTAGTTATTATCACATTTGCATTGTCAGTGCAATTTATTGAACAGGTGAGACTGGTGTCACTACAAAACACTGTTTATATGCTACATATACCATTTGACAATGTGACACTGTACGTTGAGCACCATTTCAGTTCAGCCCTACAGCCTTATGTTCATTACCCCAACAACAGTATGTAGGGTATCCAGTTAGTCTCTCTCTGGCACAATCCCATTCATAGTCATTGATCAAAGTCTAGGGTGAATGTGTGCCCTCCCCTGTTGTTTTTATAGTTTTACCCAGCAGAGTGGGTTATTTCCCGGTGTGTTGACCATTGAAACGTCAACTTTAAACATCTGTTATCAGTCTCGTACTTTATGAGTCATCCCAGCTATGTGTCAGGAACTAACTGCCCTGGAACTTTTCCACTGAAACACATTTTTTGTCTCTGAGTTTTACCACTTCCTCAAACTTTCCAAACACAGTCACTGAGATCTGGTCGAGTCTGGTCTCGTTGTAGTTTGTGAGTTGCTCTCTCTCTCTGTTTCTTCTTTCTCTTGTTCTCGACGAGCCCCGGCTGAGTCCCAGTTCTAGGGTGTAGCCTAACCTGGTCGCAATGAGGCCGGAGACATCGCACCCTGGCCCCGGTAATCCCATTGTCCCGTGGGCTCGCCAATGTAGGTCAACTTCCTCCTGACCCGTCCCGTCCTTTAAACCGGGATTTAAACCGGCCTCTCCCACGGTTACCGGAGGTTAAGATCAGTTAGATCATAGCCTACCAACAACAAAGCTCCATTCAGAGCCGTTCCCACAGTTCAGAATGCCGCGATGGCCCGGTTTGAGTTTAGGGACAGGGTGGTGAGAGCGTCCCCGGCGCGGCAGCAGTTCCTTCGGCCGGTTCTAAGCACCCTCTCCTCCCCCAGTTCCAGTGAAAGTCTCGCCCTCTTGCTGGGGAGGAAGTCGGGCGCGACGGACGCCTTCCCCCGGCGTTTCCTGCAATGCCTGTCGGGGCTCACAGGGCTCCGGTTCTCTTTGTCCTCCACCGTCTCCTTTCCACTACATTTTCCGGGCTTGCATGCGCCCTGAGCGGCCTCAGAGTCACTAGACATGGGCTCCTGGATGGTTGGGGACTCAGGCTCTGGCTCGACCTGGGTCACCTCCACCTCGACTTGTTCCCCGCTGGCAGTAGTATCCATCGCATCCTCCTCTGGTGTGACCGGGACCAGGTGTGCGGTTCCCAGCTCCTCTCTCTCCTTGGCCAGGCAGGCGGAGTGGTACAGGTCCCGGGCAGAGCGCATGACAACGGAGAGCAGAAGGCTCCGGTGTAGCCTCATACCTCCTCGCTGTGCTCGGGAGGCGTACAGTTTGCTAATGGACACTGCCATGATCCGTTTGGCTTCAGCGCTCACGTCCATAGTTCCTCTTCTTGGTATTTACTCGTAAATTACGCACGGTTCGGTTGACAGTTGGAACAAAAACTTAAAGCGTCAAGCTTTAAAATACTATTCGATACTATTCCTAAAATAGTATTTTATCTATAAATTAATCTGTACTTGTGTGTTGAGTTCTTCCTTAGTTTACAACTGTCACCATCTGGTGTACAACAAAATAATGAGAACCGGAGAGTAACAGGGCGGTGTTATATTTCCACTCTGACGTAATGAGACTCGAGCTGCTTCATTCCTCCTTGGTGACAGGATAAACACGCCCCGCCCAGACCTTCCTGCTCAAGCTTAGTTTCCTGCAGGAGATAGCATATGGCTGTATACCTTACAGCTTGACAAGTATGTAACCTAGGCTACCTCCTATTGTAACAACCGGTTATAAGTAAGCGTTTCACGCTAAAGTCTACACCTGTTGTACTCGGCGCATGTGACAAATAACATTTGATTTGATTTTAAACCTGTGTTGTTGGAAACGCAGAGATCAATATGCTGTTTGGGATTTCAAGAAACTCAATAAAAATTATATATATATATATGCCATTTAGCAGACGCTTTTATCCAAAGCGACTTACAGTCATGTGTGCATACATTTTTATGTATGGGTGGTCCCGGGGATCGAACCCACTACCCTGGCGTTACAAGCACCATGCTCTACCAATTGCGCTACAGAGGACCACGAGATGGTATTATAGTGAATTCACTGTAATAACAATATTATAGACTAAAATGTCAATTGGATCACTACCTGTGTTGTTGGAAGCACACAGCTAGCCTATGCCAACACCAATATGCTGTTTGAGATTTCAATCAACTCAAAATAAAAATAAAAAATAAAAACATATAACCTGTCTATACCATATAGAATAAGATTTTATTATAGTTAATTTATATGAAGCTGACATAAAATATTATAATAATTGAATAGACTTCATTCATTGTTGTCAATGCAGCAAAATAAAAACAGATAGTGGTCCTACAGTAGAAAAAAACAACAACAAATGTCCCTAATATTCCAAACATATTCCTCTGTTCCCTTTTAGAGAACTATTGTAGAGTCGTTGTTTTTCTATTGGCATCAAACCCTGCAATATGTATCAAGGTTCAGTTACACTATAATGAGCAATTCTCAGTAATCTGTGGGTGGTAAAATTTGTAGCTGTCTCCATGTTTCCAGGGAGTTTCTGTTTGTGTTTTTTTCACCCTCTCTATATATTTTTTTCTATCTAACGTCACCCTCAATCATCCATATATGGCGCATCCGCCCTGGCTGTGCGTTCCCCAGGGGCGCGCAGTGGAAAAGCCATGACGTGAACGCGCAGCCACGTAACCGCAGCGCACAGCGGCACTTCCCCCATCTAGCCCCAGCGTTCATCAACGCACAGCGGCAGCATCGCAGAGGTTTCGTCATCGCCACAACTTCCAAATATGGAGTTGTCACCGGTACAACAGCCCAGCGCCAGTACCTCAGGCGTCGGGGCTGGTTGCTTGCGGCTGTGCTTGGGTTACTAGGAAGAGGCACGATTGAGGTCAAGCAGCAGCTGTCAGTCTAGTTTCTAGAGCTGTGATAAGAGGTCATGCCGTTTCTAGAGCTGCGATAAGAGGTCATGCCGTCTATAAATAGAACGCGGGGGAAATCTGTGACTCAGTAAACTACAATCTATTATTTGTTCTCTGACTGTTTACTGTCTGACTGTTCCTTTGTTCGCCTATAGCTTTCATTATTCTAATTGAATACAAGTAATAATGTGATCTGTGTGGGCTAGTCTCCTGCCCTTCTGAACCTTGATATTTTGGCAAAGCTGACTCACTGTACACTTAATAGAATTGCATATATCTATGGCACACACAGTCTATTATACTCCGAGGTGAAAATTGGGAACCCACCAATGTAGCCTAGTAAAATCCTTGAATGCACCTGAAAAAGCTAATTTCACATGTTAGAATGATTTCACTCCCAGACCTGGTTCGGGTTTCCCCCACCACTGATTATAGGTAGGCCTATAGCTGTGTAATAATATATTATTGACATAGTCTGTTGTACTAAAGACTTGTTCTAACTTGTCACTCCCCAAAACAAAACATCTTGATCATCCAGTGAGTCAGTCAGTGTTCATGTCAGGTGATGATTTCTCCATTGGACTTGGATCCAGCAAGGTGCCAGCCCAGAAAACCAAGAATAAACATTTGTCAGAATAACCATTTAACTGTGTCAAGGTTTCCGTCCCACTGCATGTAAAAATAGTCTGCTATGTATGCGTCGCAAATGGCACCCTATTCCCTATAGTGCACTACTTTTGACCAGAGCCCTATAGGTCCTGATCAAAAGTAGTGCACTATATAGGGATTAGGGTGCAATTTGAGACACAACCATTTATAATTTTCCGGCTTTAGTGCATTCCATCCATTATGTTTGGCATGCAATGTGTGTGTGTGTGTGACGTTTGAGGTCTGTGAATTTTCACAGTGTAAAAGGGGCAGGAAAGGGGAGGAGGGGGGAGGAAGGGAGGAAACAGGAGGGAGACAGAAAGGAAGGAAGGGAGGGAACGGGGTGTGGGATAGGAAGAGAAAAAAAACAATGGACAGGGCAAAGGGTAAGAGGAGACAGAACAGAGGGCATGAGAGATTCAGACCCTGAGGAAGAGAGAGAGAGAGAGAGAGAGAGAGATATAGTATAGAGAGATGAGATAAGAGACAGATGGCTCTAGAGGATAGACAGACAGCCCGAGAGAGACCTAGATATATAGATATAGACGCAGGCTATATACAATATATAGATATAATCTATCTATAAGATTAGAGATAACATATATATAGAGAAAAGAATTATTATATATTATATATATAAATAGATAGATATAAGGAGATATAGATAGACACATATAGAGATATAAATATAGCTATATTTATATATATATATAGCAGTCATATATATAGATACCCATATAGATATAGATATTACCTATAATAAATATATATAATTACTGATGAAGATATATATATATTCATAATATATGATAGATATGATATACATATATATCTATATTACCACATATACATATACAATATAATTCATATATATTATCTTTTGTTATACATATATATATACTTATATATATATAATATAATTATTTTTTATATATGATTTGCTATATATTTATATACCCATATATATGATATATATACATAATAATCTATATCAAACAATACAGATACCTAGATATCATTATATATATATAGTTGTTTGTTCTCTCTCTCTCTCTCCGCTCCCTCTCTCTCGCTTCTCTTTTGTTCTCTCTCTCTTTTTCCTCTCTCCCCTCGCGCTCTCGCCCTCTCTCTCTCTCGCTTCTCGCTCTCTCGCCTCTCTCCCCTCGCTCTCTCCCCCGCCTCTCTCTCCCTCTCTCTCCTCGTCCTCTCGCTCTACCTCTCTCTCTCGCTCTCTCTCCCTCGCTCTCTCTCTCTCTTTTTCGCTTTTTTTTTCTCTCTTTTTTCTTCTCTCGTCTCTACTCTCATCTCGCCCCGGGGCGCGGGTCTGCGTCTCGCTCTCTCTCGCTCTCTCGGCTCTGTCTCAAGGCGGGTACGCCAGAGCCCATTCAGCCAGAGACCGAGCCCTGATACAGATACAGATACAGCGAGAATCGAGTGGTGCTCTTTTCTCTCTATTCTCCCCCTCTCTCTCTTCTCGCTCGCTCTGACGTCGCTCGTAGAGAGAGGTATTACATATTAGAGACACATAGTCCCCTTAGATTACACAGACCTACAAAGAATTATACCACCCGACCCCATTTTGATAATTTCGAAAAATCTATTGGGTGAAATACCACAGTGGGCCATCACAGCCTGAAGATGTGTGACCTGTTGCCACAAGAAAAGGGCAACCATTGAAGAACAACACACCATTGTATAACAAAAACAAACCCATATTTTATTTAAATTTTAGTTTTCCTTATGTTTCCCTTTTGTACTTTAAACTATTTGCGCATCATACAAACGACTGTGTTAGCCCTAATATGGACATTTTACATGTCTCTATTCCTTTGAATACATTTTGTGAGTGTAAGGTTTCTGTTCATATTCTGATTGTTTTATTTTTCAATTTTTATTTATTATCTAGTTTCACTTGCTTTTGTTGTCTGCACTGTCAACAACATATGTTTCTTGCCGTTATGCCAATAAAGCCCTTTGAATTGAATTGAGAGAGAGAGAGAGTTGTAACGATTTTATGTGGGGGAGGAGGTGTTGGACTCAACATATTTTGGCTCAGTCAGAGAAATTGGCTCTTTCATAGACAAGTCTGTCATTGGCCAATTCTTACACAATGTCCCTCCTGTCAGTAATATGATTTACTTTAATTTCAATAAACTTAAAGGTCCAATGCAGCCATTTTTATCTCAGTATCAAATCATTTCTGGGTAACGATTAAGTACCTTACTGTGAACATTTTCAATTTAAATGGTCAAAAAGAAACAAAAAATAGCTTCTTAGCAAAGATCAATTTCTCAAGCAACAATTTTGCTAGGACTGTCAGGGAGTGGTTTGAGTGGGGAAGGGGGAAACTGAAAATTAACGATTAGTTACCGGAGTGTAACAGTTCTATGAGTGGAGCGGAGCCCCATAGGGGAGCTCTGCTCCTATTGGTTTACCCACTGCCCTAAGGCAGCATCAGCCTGAGACAAAATTATGCACACACCTGCAGCCAATAGGAGTACAGGTGTCCCTATAAGAGGGGATGCCTCCCCTCAATCAGCCTCCCGAGATATTTATCTTCAGCGAGACTAGAGAGGGTCGGCAGGGCCTTAAGTCCTATGGGGCTCCGCTCCACTCATAGAACTGGAGTTACACTCCGGTAACTAATCGTTCTATATCGTGGAGCTCCGCCCCATAGGGGAGCTCTGCTCCTATTGGTTTAAGGCGGAGCGTAGCGCTCCAAAATGTACTCCCTGCCGAGCCCAACACTTCCCATCAAAATGAAA